TCTCCCTGTGTGTGTATGTATGTATGTGTATGCGTATGTGTTGGTGTCGATAAAACAACCAGAATACTAGTCTAGAAGTATCAAATAATAAACAAAATAGAGAAAGGATTACTTTTCTTTCGCCTATTGTTAACTTAGAGATTAGATTTGAGATAAAAAACACTGCCTTATCTTTTAAACTATATATATATAACTGTGAATTCAACAATATCGCACTTTCCGCTTTGTTGAGTTTTGTTCAATATCCAATTGGGACAGATTTAAACAAATTAAGTGATGATCCATCTACTTAATTCTAAGGTTTTCATAATGAAATCAATGATTTGGGATTACATCTATACGATTTAAATACTTAATCCGATCTCATAGAGTTTTATTATTATTATGTATTTGTCCCTTGGGTTCCTAGTAGAACATACGGATTCAGTAGCGCGTCTCCATTACACTCCATTCTGTGCACCCGTTTCAACATGACTCCATGACTAACCACAACATCTCATTTCTTACTCACACAATCTCGATCTCCTCCATGTCACCCTCACCTCGGAAGCACAACTCGTCGTTTCCCATCTGGGTTCTACTCGAGCAACTGGCCTGACCTGACCTGACCTGACCTGGCATGGAGCGTGATGTACCCAGTCGGTCTTCTCACTCCATCAACAATCCATATCCACTTCCTTCCAGTGTATATTTGTTGACTGATATGTTCTTGATTGATTCGTTCCCAGCCAGATAGCCAGATAGCCAGGTAACCAGCCAGCCAGCCAGCCAGCCAGCCAGCCAGCCAGCCAGCCAGCCAGCCAGCCAGCCCAGCCAGCCAGCCAGCCAGCCAGCCAGCCAGCCAGCCAGCCAGCCAGCCAGCCAGCCAGCCAGCCAGCCAGCCAGCCAGCCAGCCAGCCAGCCAGCCAGCCAGCCAGCCAGCCAGCCAGCCACAGTTGCTTGTTACTTATTCTTAGTATTCTGCACATACGAGCTTCAGTAACGAGCCAGTGTATGCAGTTGTTCCCGAATATCTCTAGTCTATTGGAAATGCCTTGCCTAACGCATGCACAAAGTCTCTCAACCATCACACAGAAGCACTGACTTGACTGAGATTTGTGTTGAAGATGCGTATCTTGTTCCACATACTGAGTGCAGTAGATCTCCACACTGGTTTCAGGTTAATCAACGCCTCTCTTTCTGTCTTTCCCATCCTGGCTGACTTTGACATCCTCGTCTGTGCCACCTGTAGTTGAAGCGATGTTGTCTGGATAGGTGAAAGAGACTACTTCCTATGGGTAACTCCCGTTGATGGTGATTGGAGCTCATTGTTGTTGTTGGTTGGGTATCACTAGGTTAAATTATTGACAAGACCAGACCTTCGACTTGCGGATTGATTGATGAGCGTTCCTTTAGAGTTAACGATATGTGTTACAGTTGATAAGTTCCAACAATCACAAGTTCAAGGGGGTGTATGATTTCCTATTGATTAACCTCAAACACTGTGAAATAGTGTAGTGTCATTTAGACCAATGGTCATACTCCAAACTTGGTTGGCACTGAAGACTGCGTGAAGACTTAAATATCCCTAAATGTTAAGTGACACAATACGCTGAGTAGCCCTACGTGTTTGACGCCACAAAATAGGCAGGAGAGAGCCTCGAATCGCTAAGAAGACCTATCTGGAAATAATGAAGAAAGTCCTAGGTATGAGATTCACGTATGCCTTGTTCAACACCGCAGTCATAAGTTTGAAAACAAATTTTAGAACAGTATATGAAGCCTGCAGGAACCAGATTGTGTGAATAACATTGGTTATCCTTTGCCACTATTAGTCATGGAATCCATTATGGTCACTTCAGTGAGTAAAAACAACAGTTGAATGGAAAGATTATAACAACCTATGACTTTACAAATGGGCCTCGCCAAATATGTCCACACTCATTTCTCTGCTGATCTTTGACAGTACTTGGATTGTCTAATATTTTGCAAACTGCTTGTTTCTTTAGTCATGTCCTTTAACTACTTATGAGTAGTTAAAGATTTCAACCAATTATCTATAGGAAAATAAAAAATGCTGAAGTACGTCAGTAGTACAGTTAGGCTATGCAACCAGTTAACACATTTTCATGTCCTAAAGAATTTAGATTGGAATGATTTGTAGACGATTCCATCCTGTAGGTGATACTAGTTGAGAAGGGAAGTAGATTCATATGTGTATAGCTAAATGTCAACCTCTTCTTCTAAAATTTGATCACTAGTTTATTACATGTCAATCAGTATCACGGTGTTTAACCCTTAGTATTGACCCTAAATAGGATAGAGATTGATTAAAGTTCAACTTGTTGAAGGGGAACTAGATTTATCTTTTTTCCAAAGGAATTACAGAAGGTGAGTTACATTCTAGGTGATGTCAACAGTCACTTCTTTCAAAGAAAAAACTCAGTATGATTAATGTAGATGGGAATGGTCTGTTCTAGAGTTCAGTTTGCGGGCTTCCAATGAAAGCTGGTGATGATCAAGGCACCTGACTGACTCATCTAAATATCATTCAGTTTTCTGTCGACCTTCAGTCTGTCGAAAGTCGCATACTTGTGTGTGTGTGTGTGTGTATATAGTCAATCATATTCACTGATTGACCGAATCATTATGCTGATGAAGTATGCTCACTGAATGTTACAGGTATCAGAGTAAAGATATGATTCTACTACTATCTGAGGTTAATCCAGTTAACCACTCAGTATATTTCAGGCTACATATGAGTTATTATACAAGAAATTATGAAGGCGGATTGAATAAGAGAGAAAGAGTGGTGATGTGTGTTGCAAATGCGTCTTCATACTTGCTTCAGTGAAAATATAACTGAAGTGTGAACTGTTTCACAATGGTCAAAGAAATAAACTATCCAATCACTTTACGCTTGTAATTCCCAATTATTATATTGGACCGGATTGTTCGATTTCTGTTGGCATATGGGCTTCTATGCGGATGCCTCGTTATTGTTTGAGTACTTATGATAATGGTTTAACAGGGTGTGGCTAGCAAAGGAACTCAAGACGCTCGTTTTGTCCTATTTGGGTACTGTGGCCTTAGTAGGGACAGTAGATAACGCCTTGACATTTGAAGTGAAAGGTACGAGGTGGGAGTCCCAGGGAGAACATCTCTGACTCGGATGGAGACATATCCAGCTGACGAGTCCCAAGTAGGACGAAACGCCTGTTCTTGGTTCCTATGTTAGCTAAAACCAAGTAAATCATCGTATGTGTACCAGAAGTATCTCCGTTAGGTAATATAAACTTTCTCTGTGCATATTTTATGCTAGTAAATTCTGGGCATTCGAAGTCTCACTTTCTCTAACCAATTAAAGGCAGTCTCGAGTAACTCCTAATAGAGATCAATTATTATCCTTTCCCATCTAATTTTGTTCAATTTCTTTTGATGTCACAATGACATAACTAGGAAAATTGGGTGGTGGAATGCATAAATACCTGTGTATGCCTACGGTTATTCGGCATCAGCAATGGGATATGGGAGTGCTGCAGGATGATCCTAGTTACCACACCTCATGTCAACACATGAGGGTAGGAGGTACCAAGATGAGGGATGGAGAAATCAGGAAGAAAGTAATCAAAGGTGGGAGGGAGGTAGTAGTGAAAAAAAACACCGAGTTGTTTGCTGAAATCACTTGCTACTGCAACCACGTCTAAACGTTTGATTTCCAACCGGAGGTCACTTAGTTTTTGATAGAACTAATAAGCAGAGATTACAAAGAGAAAAAGGCTAGTTCCACTACTCCTTTTAGTCCTCACTACATCATCCACTTAAGCAGTGCGAATGAGTGACGGTCAACTGCGATCCAGTACAGCAACGCACTTTTGACCTTAAGACTTCATACATACAATATGACAACGGATTCTATCTACTGGCTATCTGGTTGACCTACCTAATTCATATCTGCCGATCAGACGAGTCACTTATGACCTAAAGAATACTGTGGCTTTGTTTCTGAGAGCCAGTTACCTTGAGGAAAGAGTTCTAGTCCGTTCAGTAGTGGTATTCTCCTGAGTTTTGAGAAGTCTGGATTGGTAAGGACTCTCGAAAGATTGCATCCTGTCATCCTGTATCAAGTGTGGTGAACAGTAATGCCCATGTATGTATCTGAGTATTTTCTGGCTACAACACAAGATGAATGACTGTGAAGGTCAGCAGACTAGCAACCACTGAAGTTTTTGTATTTCAGCTTGGTAGATAGTTTTCTCATAAATAAACTTACTAAAGTGGCCTGGATGTAAATGATTCATTTTTTCTGCCTTTTACGCAAACTAACTCAAACAGACGTACAAACGTAACGAAATATATAAGTTTTTTTCTTCTCTATCTTCCTTGCCTTTGGCGGCGTTAGGGATTAATAAATTTCAAATTACTCATCCACATCAGATACAAATGACATTGACAATGAAAAATAATAATTTCATCTTTCAGTTTTGTTTCTCTCATATGCTCAAGGTAAGTAAACAACTGAAATGAAATCAATAATAACAATAAGTTAAAACTCAATTTTATTTTATTTACTATCATCTATTAACATCCAAGTGTAAACTATGTACTCAAACACACTTCTACAGTTCAATGAATAAAATTTTCTGCTAAATAATAACTTCCTTCCTTCTTTCTTTTCCATTCCATCATATAAGTTTATTTTAACAACATTAAATTGATTTACTTTTCTGATCTAATGATTTTACATCTATAGGATATTGATCGTTAGAATTTAAATTGTGCATAAGTGTATGTTATTCAAGGTGAACAAATAACCTTCATTCATTCATTCATGAATATATTTTTAGGCTTGCTTACACAAGCACACATATACACACACACAGATCGACAGACAGACAGACAGACAGACAGACAGACTCACAGATATTTTAAAATGGTGAATAACACAGAATTTAAATGTCATATTTAAAATTTAATGGTGTATGCATACGTATAAATTTATACCTCTGTGATAATAACAATAAATAAACAAGCAAAATATCAATAATTATTTCAAACTTTAATACCAAAGTAATTAATAGTAAAAGTGAGTAGTCAATCGTAAATTCTTTAACTCTCATAATCTTCTAGTCTAATAAATCTTTAGAAGATTTTAATCTACAGGATTCCATTTGAAGTTGGTCAGAGTTGTTATTTAAGGTGTAAGTAATAAGTCGATAGTGAATGATTTGAAAGAGGCAGAAAAACAAATCAGGTGAGATAAACTAATTATACTGAACGATTGGTTTATAAAGGAAATATTAGGTAACCATTTAATTTAATGGATACCAGCTAGCAATGGAATCCAGGATGTCCTTTCCACCCTACTGGGATTTGTCATCTCGATGTACTTGCATATTGTTCCCACTAAGACTTTAGCCGAGGACCAATTGCTTTCAGTACAAGATCGTTATCATCTAGATCAATGAGTCACGATAATCACTGCTTGTACGAGGGGCATAGTATACTTTTTTTCGATCCTATACCCTTGTAAGTCTCAAAAAAGCTATTATATGATTGAGATTGTATTCATCACGAAGTGATATTAGTTGGGGATCCAATGAAAACCTAGAAGCATTGGACAGCAATTTCGTCCCAGTATAGTGCTGTTCCGTGGTTCAACTCAGAATTCCTATTAACAGTGAATCATCCACTAGGCTGCTGCTGCAATGAGTATTAACTATATAAAGAAGAATCATTATAATATCTAGAAGACTGTACAATGAGGTATATATAAGAACGGAGAGCGATCATCCTCCTTCTATGATAGAATAAACACCGGGGAATTGTACACAGTAGCATAAAATACGCAGTAATCTTTTCATTCTATGATAGGTTTTTTGGTTACTTTGTTTCCCTGTGATTTAGGTCGGTGGTTGATCAATGAATGAACGGAAAGAGGAAGGAATGCTCTGTCAGCAACCAGATGCGTATTCATGTAGCGGACAATGAGTCACACCTGTTGTATCAGAGCTAATGATACCCTATATGGTTGTTTAAACCTCGGCAGATATAGTAGGGCTCGAACCTGTGGCTCATCAGTCAAGAGTCAACTCCCTGGGCCAATGAGCCATAGCTTCAATAGGTACATGGAGTAAATCCAATTTCCCCCCTAATCAACCAAGGTATACACTTATCATATCAGCAGTGTATCTTGACTTTCTTGCTGGATAAAAGTAATACCAATTAACTCTGCTTTTCTCAGTATGGTTAGTCATGTGCTTGTTTAAGGTTGCTTAGCAACGGTTGATGTAGCGTATCAACAAGAGGAAGTTACACTGTCTATTAAGCATTGAAACATAATATTTCACTTGTCTTATTTTTTTCTTTTCTTTGTTTTTGTAAAAAAGTTACTTCTTTATTGTACAAGGAGATGATAAAGTGCTTTTCACATGAAAATATTTTACCTTTCTTTGCGAGAAATGGATGGGGAAAAGGAGAGCAGTATTCACTTGACATATGTAATCTTATGCGAAGGAGTAGTTCTTAGCTAAGAGCACTGGACAGCTGTTTCCTCCTAGTATGGAGCTCTTCAGCAGTGCACACCCATGACCCCGTCTTCCAGGGCTCGAACCAAAGATTTTCAGGCTCATTGGCCAGCACGTTACCACTGGACCGGAATCTAATGGCCCATATTTCCTACTTGGGTCAGTGCAGTCATCACATAATGTCGTCGTTGAGTGTTTGTCTTCAAGGCCAGCAGGTTTGCTCCATGCTAACTAGCTTTGAGAGGTGATTCCTGTAGTTCCTATGAGAAGTCGTTACCGACGGGGCGGACGTGATTGCCAGGAAGACAAATACTCAACGATGACATCAAGTGATGGTCGTGCCATGCTGTGAAGTGACAGAAGTAGGAAATATGGACTATCAGATTTCGGCCCAGTAGTTCAATGGTAACGTGCTGGCCAAGGGACCTGAAGGTTCCGGGTTCGAGCCTTAGTGGGGTCATGGGTGCGCATTTCTAAGGAGTCCTATATTAGGACAAAACAACTGTCCACTGCTCACAGGTCTCCAAGTGATGTTAGTCCATGATGAATACCAACTCGAAAAGTTACTAGAACCTCAGAAACCCCAGAATTGAATTAATATACACCCGATATATAATGAAGGATAGCGCCAAGAATCCTGAGATCCATCGCCACTACTAAGTTGAGATCCAATGGCTCATAGTATCAAGCTGATGTCATTTTGTCATGAAAACTCATTTGAAATGAATCTATTTCCCGCAAACCCCTAAAACGTGTATATATAAATATGGATATATTCACATGAGTTTCGGGTTCGAATCTCATTGGGAGGCAGGAACATCCACCTGACGAGTCCTAAATGGGTAGAAATGTGCATCCTGGGTTCTGGTACCAGACGCTGTCCATAATTACTATATAGAAGACTGTTTTTCTTTTTCCCAAGGTTACTCATGAAAACTGTTTATCCCATTTTAAGCAACTAGGATTAACTTCAGTTTTCGAAAAATACTGAAAGTCACTCTTGAATCCTAACTAAACATTTCTGGCATGAATATTCTTTTATTTTCATACAAATATTCCCCATTATGAACTTGAATGGAGAGGGAATGACGATTAGAGCGAAATAATACATGATACCATATGGTTTCGCTCATTCCTCATCAGCTGCTTACAACCCAAAGAACTACAACATACTTCGGTTCACATACATCAAATTAGTTGATGAGGAACAATATGGTTTAATCAAGAATATAAACATCCAGGTGAAGTTGGGAAGATATGACAAACAGTTTCAGTTGTATATGTGTCTGAACAGAGAGTTGGAGAAAAGAACAAGAATAGTTATATAGATTGTATAAGGAGGTTAACAAGGGCGGGCATCTCTTCATATTTTGTACTCGTCAGCTGGATATACTTGCACCTCAGTGAGTGACGTTGTTCCATCCCTGTACAGCAGGGTATTGGGTACCTATGTCTGAGGAGTCTCATACTAAAACAAAACAGCTGTTCAGTGCTCTCAGGTCTCTAATGTTCCTCCAGTCGACGTCGTTTCATGACAGATTTCAACTTGAAGTCACTAGAAACTCACCCGCTCCCCTCCAAAAAAACTCCTAATTAAACAAAAGCCTACAAAACTTAAGATATCTCTCAAATGTTTTACTGAATCCTACTCTAATACACACCCTTATATAGTTTCATAAAAGCATCGACTTATGGTATTACATAAGCAGTATTATCCTTTAGGTAATCAATTATTTTAAATTGAATCCCGGTAATAGTTGATCGTGACAATCACGTTCATATAAGACGAATGATACCAAAACAGTGAACCTTAATCTATTGAGATGGCTTGGACATGTATTGCGTATGCTAACCCACCGCCTACCTCTACATGTCATTGCTAGAAAGAAGCTGAATTAAGTTGGAAGAGGATTCAAGGTGGCTAAACGAGTCTCTGATTGTTGTTTCCAACTATGTTTGTTTGTGAGAGAGGGATGAAGACTACCTGATTAGGGTCTCCGAGATAACAGGAATCAGTGGTTGAGAACTCCTGTTGAGCTGATATGGCTTGAATCCTGCCGTGACTTTGTGGGCTTCTTTACAACATACACTGGGTTTGTTCAGTTCATTTCCTATGGTTTCTGCTGTATATAAATTACAAACTGGCAAAATATGAAAATGACTAAACAATGACTACTTTTAAAGACAATGAGAATAACAATGCGATGCTCAGAAACACCAAGATGTCTGGGTATAGATACACTTATAAACCTTTTGTATTTTTTAATCAATTGTTGAAGGATACTGTTCGGATATGGAATAGTGAATTTGTGTATTCATCCACTCAATATAGCTAATTCACTTCACGGGAACAGTTCAACTATAAAATGTCCACATAGGAGACGAAATATAATTGTTTATCTTTACTGTATTGGATAGTGTTTCTGAGTACAGTACTCAGATACTTGTTGCATTATCCACAAAGCGTGTTCGCAAGAATACAGAGTACAGTGATTAGTTGATTTTCGTTTCCAAATGTAGCTATGGAGTATTTTAGTCGATTATATCGCTCATAACTATCACAACTATTGACCTCTAATCAACTGACTGACTATATATAACCCAAGACCAGTGTGGCCATAACAATGAGTAGTTTGAAGAACAGTAGGCAGCCGAGGAATACTAACCAGAGAGTTTGGGACCATACTTCTTTCCGGAATGACAGTGGTTAACTAACCTATGCTCCTGGTTAATAAAAAACACAACAGGGAATTCTGAGCCAAAAGGAGGCCGATTATCATAAATACATAAAGACATCCAGCAAGACGTTACTCGAAATATATGCAGTATTAAACTTAAGATATAATCCAAGTAGTTCTACATTTTCCATTTTTCTCATGTTTCCAGTAATACTTACTGAAGGGACTTCGTTCTAAAACTCAAGTGTTTGTCTCCATTTTACAATTAACTTTTAGTTCAAGTATTTTAAACAGGACAATTTGCCTATTGATAGGAAGCGGCCTAAAATCGAAATCAGCATTCTAGGTTATCAGCCAATCAAGGTAGAAGTTCTGAGTTTTAACCCTGTTTCATTTGACTGTGTGGGCAGGACAAACCTGATTGGACAGTTTTGTTGTACAGCTGGCCAATCAAAATAGGTCTCCAACTTATGACCTAGTGGCATTATTACCTGAAGAAAAACTGTATATAAATAATATGACTTCTGTCAAATAAAGTTATCTTCCTTACAGTCACAGGTTGGTCTTGGTCTTCTGATTTTCGTGGCTCAGTGAAGTATCAGGTCTGATGGAGAACAGTCACGTATCCAGTCCGAGTATCTCATTGCATTAGTAACTTTCTCATATCTCGTGTTATTCTGTCAGTCACTACACCTACTCAGTATCTTCTTAATCCATAAGGATAGAATCGGTCAGTAACGCAACAAGACAGATTTAAATTGAACACGTGACCATTATGAATCACTTTGACGGGGACAGTTCAATTAGATAAACTTTCATTGATTCACAGTTTCAATACCAAACAACTTCTAGAGTCCTCACTAACCAACTGTGATGTAGGCATGATTATTTTGTTGTAACATATAATAGTGTTGGCAAAGTGTAATATCTAGCCCACAGTCTAGAAGAAGAGGCGGGATAAAGATGTGGAATGAATCCCATGGGGATTGGCTAGATGGCTGCACTCTAGTCCTGAGAGACAGTGATAACAGACGCCTTGTCGCCATCAA